GTTTGCGTAGGGCCCAGGTCTCTGAGCATATGTTAATGCAGGAAGAACAGTGGAATCAAAGAGATGTGCCCGGATTCAGAGGTTCTTTGTCCTCTTAGCTATTTCTTCGAGGTTCTTGAAGGAGTTCCAAGCCGCTCTCTTCCTCTTGAGCAGCTTGGGTGCCAGGTCATTTGTCATGTTGACTTCTCGACCTAGGTACACATAGCTGTTGCATTTGGAGATGGTCGTTCCGTTGAGAGCACATGGAGCATCAGGAACGAGGCTGTTTCTCATAAACATTGTCTTCGTAAGATTCAGCTGTAGTCCTACCTTTCCACACTCACGGTCAAAGTCGGCCAGCATTTGTGCCGCTAGGCTGATGTTTGGTGTTATTAAAACAATGTCATCAGCAAAGCGGAGGTGGTGTAATTGCCGACCATCTATCTTCACTCCCATTCCTTCCCATTCCAGTCATCGCATGATGTTCTCGAGGGTGGCACTGAAGAGTTTCGGTGAAATGGTATCACCCTGTCGCACCCCTCTCTTGACATCAACGATCACTTCTTTGTAGAATGGTGAGATCCTGGTAGTGAATCCGCAATACAGCTCACGGAGGATCCTGATGTATTGGGCTTGAATGCCCTGATTGGCTAGGGCTTCAATGACCGCTTCCGTCTCAACAGAATCAAAGGCCTTCTTTAAATCAATGAACGTTAAACAGAGCGGCATCTTGAACTCCCGAGAAACCTCAATGAGCTTGGTTATCGTGTGGATATGGTCGATGGTGCTGAATCCTTTGTGGAACCCGGCTTGCTCGCATGGTTGTCCTTCATCTAGTGTTCTGCCAATCCTATTTAGGATGACTTGAGTGAACAACTTGTAGATGAAAGACAGTAGACAGATAGGGCAATAGTTGCCAATGTCATGGATGCCTCCCTTCTTGAACAGCAGCACGGTCCTGCTGGTTCACCACTGGGACGGAATCTTGCATTCAGACAGGTAGCGAGTGAAGAGCCGAGTCAGTGTATTGATGAGTACTGATGGCAGGTTCTTCAGGTGTTCGGGTATGACCCTGTCTGGGCCGGGTGCTGTTTGTTTCTTTACCGAAGAAATGGCGTGTCGGATTTCGGAAGGGAGAACATTGGGAATGACATATCCATCTTGTGGAATTTGGTATGTCGGCAAGTGGACATGGCCATCGAAGAGATTTGAGTAGAAGTCATGGATAATCTTCTCCATTGCCGTTCTAGAGGATGTGATGGATCCATCAGGATGTCGGAGGGCAGTCATCTTGGTCTTGTAGTTGGCAAAGGACAGGCGGGCGTAACGAATACTTTTCCCAGCTTCTACCACCTCTACCAGTATTTCTGCTCTTCTCTCCTTGAGGTCCTCCTTGATCGCATCTCTGCACTGCTTTGCGATTTCGGACGTTAGCTTGCGCTTGCCTGAGGCATGCGCCAAACCACGCTGGCGAATTAGCTCAAGAGTTTTCAAAGACAGGCGCTTTTTTGTGGCTATCTCTCTCTTGGCGTTCCTCGCACATTCATAGAGGTGCTGAACCAGTCGATCATATTCCTCGTCAATGTTGTCAACAGTGGCATCTTCCCATGTTGCCGCAATAGGGCCAAAGAGTTCCCAGTTGGTGGTCGTTCTGGGAGTTCTCTTTTTGAACTTTGCAGCCCTTTCTCCCCACTCTGTGAAGTAGAATTTTGCACGAAGGAGACGGTGGTCCATCCCGTTTGAAATTTTGGGACAACAGCGACATCGGTCAGGCAAAACCGTCGATTGAATATGATGTGGTCTATTTCGTTGTGGAATCGTCCACCGGGAGACTCCCATGTCCAACGTTTAGAGTCTACCTTCTGGAACTGTGAGTTACCATGAATGGTCTTGGTCGACATGATGAACTCAGACAGTTTCTCACCCTATTTTTTCCATTCTAGGCCATGGGTCCTGATGTGAAGTTCTTCAGCTGATCTTCTTGGTCCTATCTTGGCATTAAAATTACCCACGATGATCTTGTAGAAGGTGTGGTCTTCTTTATAGAACTTCTCCAGCTCCATGTAGAACTTCTTGATTTCTCTTTCATCATAATGAGATGTTGGTGCGTAGACAACGAAGATAGAAACTACAGGGAGTGAGCCACATCTATTCAAATGTAAACATCCGATTCTGGTTGTTAGGCATTCGAATGAATCAATGCTCTTGGCCAATTTGTGTTGACAAGGACACCGACGCCTCCGACACCTCTTTGATCGCATGGTCCGAGGAACAATTCTTCTCCAGTGTCGAAAACGGCATGGTGAGATTCGTGCCTTCTTGTCTCGGTCAGACCAATGATGTTGTACTTGATCATTCGCGCTTGTACCATCAGGTCTTCGATGGATGTATCTGATGCTAGCGTACGTGCATTGAAAGTACAGACGATCATTTTTGTCTTCCTTCGTTGTGGCAGCCTAGTTCGACCTGGAGTTTTGTCGGCCTCTCCTTTCTCAGCCTTCTCAGTGCTGCCATGTCGGTGAAGCCTTCAGGGTCAGGTGAATGAGACCAGTTGTAGTTACTGGTTTTGGCATATTGAATACACAACGGATAGCTTGCCAGGCTCTTCTGTGCGGGCGGAATACTCTCAGTAGCTTGCCAGTCTTTCCGAGAGGGATAGAGGCTTTTGGGGCGACCTCTAATCACCCTTGTAGGTGTTACCATATTTGAACCCTATCAAATATGATACGACAATTCCGGAAGATGGGTATTTAGTGTCTTATGATGTTTCGCACGGCCGAGAAGCGGCTGCGTGGGTCTGGAAAGCGTCCTGGAGTGTGGAGACGGCTGGGTAGTGGAGGTAGTGTCGATAGTGGAAGTCTGCCAGTAGCTATTCAGGTCTCCCAAAGAAGAATAGAAAGAGCTATGCTTGGAATATCACGTTTCACTCAAATGAGAGAAAAAATCCGGAGTTCCGACATCTGTCGACGATCAAGAATCAGGGACGCTGTCTCATTTGCCAAGGTGTCAAAAATCAGATGGGCTGGTCACGTAATGAGATTTAAAGACGTCCGCTGGACTAGAGCTGTTACTGACTGGATTCCACAGGATGTCAAAAGACTGCCTGGCCGCCCACCTACCAGATGGTCAGACTTCTTCTTCAAGATCATGAATGATGGGTTTGAGGCTCTTCATGTTCCCAGAGCGAACAGATGCCATTGGGCTACACTAGCACGCGACAGGGACAAATGGAGACGTTACTGGTGCCCACTCAAGCAAATCGATGACTAACGGGAAGTTAAGTGATTAAGTGATTTTGTTTTTTCTTAGTTTCACCTACCATAGTCTCCATTTTAATCGCTCCTAATTATAGTTTTCTCACTTCTGCTTTCACATTTTCTTGTACTTTGCTGATTACCCTTGCCATCATTTCTTTGAGCTCATTAAACATTCTCAACCTGGTGTCATTCTCTGAAAGTTTACAGAACTATTTGCTACTATCAGAGTCTTCTATGTTATTATTTTTACTCATTCATCTCAGAGAGCTTCTGCATGTCTTTCCCAATTGTGTTCGTAGTGTTCCGGCTGTGCTGGAACATTTATCGTTCGCACCCCTGGTACTCTCTAAAGGATTAGGCTGATAGTTGCTCTTTTCCCATTTTTGCCTGCTGACTGGAGGTATAAAGTATGAGCAGAGTAAGGTGTGATGGGTAGAACAAATCTAGCCATGTGGTTTAGGAGAGGTGGGGGTAGTCTGCTAAGGTGGTAAAGGAGAAACTCAGAGGCAGCCAGAAACCCGGAGGAGGGAGGAGAATTCACATCTGATTCCCAAAAAGCGATGGTGTGATGTTAGCAAGGAAGCTAATTCCACCCAGAAGTTAGAGGAGCATGTAGAAATCTGAGATTTGGAGGTGGACTCTCTGACTAAACCACAGTTTTTACAATTTATTTTTGGGGATGTGGGGGAGGGGTTGGGGTCACACCCATCAGGACTCAGACTCTACTTCTGACTACTCTCAGGACTCACTTCTGGTGGGCTGAGGGGACCATATGGGATCCGAGGGATGGAACCTAGGTTGGCCACATGAAAGGCAAGTGCTCTACCTGCTATAACATTTCTCCACTCCCCTGACCAACCACATTTTATAGATGGCAAAACCGTGACAATGATAAAGTGGCTAATTTCAGGTCACATTTCCAGGAAGTGATGGCACCAGGATTCTACCTCCAAATTATCTTAATTTTTTTCTTGTTTGCCCTCTTTTATAAACCAAGCTTTATAGTTATTTAAGGTTAGTCACACTGAATGTCATCATGCTGTATAAAAACTCATATGGTCAAGTTATTCTAAAAAAGCATTTATCAAGCTCAAGTGATTAAAAACAAAAAACATCTATCAAGAGTCAAAAATATTTTTAAAGGCACAGTTCTAAGTATCATGAATCTATAAAGAAGAAATAAAACTCTATCCTCACATATAGCCAACCTAGAGTGACCAATCAGAGAAATATAGAAAGCTCACTAAAATACAGAAGATTTATAAGAAACCATGACTAGTTATCAAATTAGTCTCTCAGCATCAGTGATCAGTAAATATTTTTCTGGGAGAAATTAGAGGGATGATTAATAAGAAAATGTGGAAAAATGTGGTAAATGATATAATCTTGGTTCAGAGTCTCACCGTACAGGACTGAATAGTTGAGAAAGCTCTATGAAAGAGATGGGTTTTGAATACAAGCTTGCTGGGTGAATAAGGTTGCATTTACTGAGAGAATGGGGGGGGGGGTTGAGAAGCATAGGGTGGCACAAAAACATGAAAAGGCACACATCTCTTAGGAGAGTAAGTGTCTAGTTTGGCTAGGACAGGGCATTACTGAGCAGTGTGAAATGGAATAGGTTAGGAAACTTCCAACATAATAATGAAAGTCTTTATTAAGGCATTTATCTTATAGGAAAAAAGATATCCATAATACTTGTAAAATATTGAACTGTTGATGAAATAGAAATAGTATCTAAGTGTCTTAATATCTAATATATTATGACTAGTATCTAAGTGTGACAAGGCTGCTATCTGGGGTGGATCCACTGGCGGTCTTGCCCCCTAAAACAGCCCCTTTGCTGTTCTTTGTTGCTTCCAGCTGCAGCAATAAACGCTTAGCCAGAGCTCCATCTGGGTCAGTGAGGTTGATGGCTGCATCCAGTCCCAGCAGCTTCTCCAGGTGGGAAGCCACCAGCTGCTGCTTCAGGGATGCCAACTGTTTAGCCAGCACCACAGGGGTGAGCTTCTCTTCAGTGACTGACTCCTTCACTGTTGTCTTGATTTTCTCAACCTCAGTTGTTAGCTCTTGGACCTCATGTAGAAGTCGTTGGTACTTTTGCTGGGGTGTCTCCTTTACTCCCAGACCCTCTCCAAGCATTTCATAGCCTGTCCTCTTGGTTTTTCCAATGCAATATGAGAAATCAAGTCCCCTTGTCCCCACTTTCTTGTCTTTAAACTTGTCATAGGCAGCATTGGAATTGACAATGATGTGCTCCACACTCGTACTAGTCAGCTCCTCCACGTCAAACTCTGCTTGATCATCCTCAGGCAGATCGCAGGTTTCATAAACATTTGGCTCGTTCCTGGCAATGCCAGGAAGGTCGGCATATTTAGGGTCTGCCATGGCGGCGGTGAGGCAGGGTGGGGGGACCGGGGCCTCGGTAGAGCCGGGGCTGGTGTTCGGATAGGGCAGAGGCTCGGGTCCACGTCCCAGATGAAGGCGGCGGCACAGGGAGTGGCAGAGGAGGCAGAATCTCCTGCCCCCGCTCCTGGCTGTCCTCCCGGGGCCCCTTGGAGGGGAGCGGGTTGAGTTTCCCTCCCCACCCCTCCAGGGCTCCGGCAGCACTACTCTCCACATGAATGAAGATACCAGCAGAGGAACAAAGGCATGCGGGTCCTGGGGCTGAGATCTCCAAGCCTGCTTGGATCGGGGCTGAGCATCCTCCACCTAGATCCTCCATATTCCAGTAGGTAGGGGTCACATCCACCAACTGCCCCCCCTGGCACCATATAATCCCATCAACAGCCAAGACCCAGAGACTATAAAACCCAGCTCCTGGAAGCGCGCGGGTCTCATTCTTACTTTGGACAAACTGGCAGGCTACCGAATGTAGTCTGCTCACATGGCAGAGTCTGGCAAACTCCCAATGGCGTACCCAATATGCCAAATCCAATAATAATGATGGATCTCATTCTCCTAACCCTGAAAGAGCCTTGAATACTTTTTAAAAAATCTCAGGGCTAGGATGAAGGAGACGTTACTGGGGCCTGCTAGAGGCAATCGATGAACAACAGGATGGTCGTGATCGTGATCTAAGTGTGTTAGAATCAAGTATGAATAGTATCTAAGAGAGATAGAAGGATCATCAGTATACACATATACACCATATACACACAGGTACTCTTCTGCATTTCACTTAATAACACCCTTTTTATGATATATATATAGATAGATGTGAACTCTTCATTTACTCAAAGATATAAAAGATATATTTTTCAACAGTGATTATGAGGTATCCTAGACAAAGCATGTGAAATGTCAATTTTTGTGTGGAGCAGTGGAAGTTTCTGACCACACCCAGAAAATAGTCCTGGCTCTGTGCTCAGGGATCACCCACCAAAATGGTGGTGAGAACTGTATAGTATGGGTAATCTAATCTGGACTTCTGGCGTGCAAAGCATGCCTTCAGTCCACTGAGATGATCTCTCTAGCTCTGACTATAATTTTATTGAAAAAATACATGTGTGTGGACTGCATAAAGTAGAAAAAAATTAATTTATGGTCTTCACGCTTCAGTTCTACTTAGAGGTAAGTACTTTTAATGATCTCCTTTAAAAGTACAACTCTACTTTTACTTTTACTTGACCTCTGTTATTTACAACTTCTCCAGTAACCCCAACTAGGGTACACTGGTAAGACACTGAAGGAAGAAGTTTAGAAACAGTAGAGAGTGCCCAGAGTAATCAAAACTGTCTCATCAGCACACAGCCAAATGTATGCTCCAAGCTGTTTCCTCTCTGCAGGTCTATGGTTGCCCTAAGAAAATGTTTTCAGAGTTAAAGTCAATTCAATTCTTTTAAATACTTCATCAATTATTAAGTTCATGTCACATCCAGTTTGCTTTGTATCTAGACAATGAATTTCACAAGCAGGGCTTTTTGTTTGTTTTCTTTGAGGTTTTTAATTGCCTTTCTTTTTCACTTGTGGTTGTCATATCTATTAGATCCTGTTTTCCCCCTTGTTCTTATCTTCTGCGCCTAATATGTCCTGATCTCTAAAAAAATATTAGAAGACTTCTGAATATCTTTATTTTCTCCAGGATTTGTGTTTTGGTTGTTAGTCTCTTTCCTGTGACTCATTTGCATGTGGTTTTCTCACTTGCCTGGAGAAACTTTGTTACCCATTCAAAGATTCCATACTAGAAAGGGAGAGCTGGGCTGAGTTTCCCTCTTGACCTGAAATTTCCCCCTGCAAGATAATTGGCAGCTTAGTGTGAAGCTGAAGTAGGCCAAGTGGATGATTGTGGGTCCTGCTTAACACCATGCAGGTCTTCACAGATACCGTTCTAGAAGGTAATTCCTTGCTAGAGGACCCTTCTTAAACAATGGCCTGATTTTTTCTTTCTTTTTGACTTTTGGTAGACACTCAATTGTTCTGGGGGATACTCCTAGTTCTGTGCTTGGGCATACTTGGGATTTAGTCCCAGTGGTGCTCAGGGGAACTTCTCAGTGCTAGGGATGATACCTGGGGTACCAGAGTGCATAGCATACTCTTAAGCTCTTTGACTCCTTTCCCAGGACCCTGGGGAGGGGGGGACCAAAATAAAACTTAATGAGACTGTTTTTATAACAGTAAAGTTAAGAGAGTCCACTGTAGGGGAGAAGGTAGAGAATCAGTTCCATACCTCCAGCCTATGAAATCTCATGTCTTAGTTCACCCATTTGGGCTTTGTTGTAGGTGTGATGACCAGATTGGTACAGAAATCCCATAAATGATCTTCATTGGCTCGTATTTCAATTTTATGTTCATTTGGAAATCTTGATTATCAACTAATTCTGAATTAAGAGTCTTCCAGAGGCTCCCCTGAGCTATTCCTCACTCCCTGGTAACACATTTCAAGCTGACCTTAATCATTATTTCATTTCAAAACTCATTTTCATTCTTCCAGAATTGTCCAGAATTTCTTTTGTTTATTTGTTTTTGGACTACATGCTTTAGTGCTCAGGGCTTACTCCTACTCCGTGCTTAGGGATCACTCCCGGCAGTGCTCAGGAGATTATATACAGGGCTGGGGATCAAACCTAGTTGCCTATCTATTATTCTATCTTTCTGGTCCGATTCCTGAACTTCTCAGAAATGTTTGTTCTTTGGTAGCAGCACCCCTAATCTACCTTTTTCAGGCTCTACAAGCATATTCTATTTCATGTTTTATACCAACCGTATCTCAGTCTGCTACCCTCTGGGTAGATGAGAGAAAAAAATCAAGTGTAATATCATCTTTTATCTCTCAGAGATAGTTTAGAATCCTTACTTAAAGAATCTCTAAATTCTAAGACAAATGTTTGTGGGAAGAAGTAGAATTTACTCCTTGAGGAATCAAGTGAACAAAGTGAAATGAACAGAGTCATAAAAGGTGACTATTTCTCAACCCAACCAAGGAAATACACATGTGATATTTTTGAATAATTTATTTCTATCCTGTCAAAGATACTTGGTTCCAGGCCTGAAATGATAGTACTACTTCGGGCATTTGCCTTACACATGGCTGACCTGGGTTTGATCTTGGCATCCATCCAGTAGGGTTCCCCCGAACACCACAAGGAGTAGTTCCTGAGTGCAGAGCATTGCCGGGTGTGACCCAAAAAGTCAAAAAGGATAAAAAAAAGATAGTTCTATGTTTGCTTTCCTTCAAACTTGTTTCCTCACATTAGGTGTCTTAAATCAGTGTCTTGAAGAGTGTTTTCTTTCACTTCTTTCTACATGGGCCCACAAAAAGCCTCCACCAGAGTTTATATTTTTGTCACCCCCATTATCATCGTTATTATTACTTGAAGGCTTGGATTTTACTGAGTCCTATTTCTAACCTCTTAAAGTCCCTTTGGATATTTAATCTGCAATTCCCAGTGTTTGCCAGTTTAGTACCATCTGCAAATTAGTTAATGTGCAGTTTAGCCTTTCTTTGAAATCAGTAATTAAGATGTAAAGTAAGACTCAGCCCAAGACTAATTCCCTGGGCTTCCCACTGGGACCTCTCCTGAGCTCAATAACTCTTTTATCACCACCTCTGGCTTATCATCTTCCAGCCAAGTCTCAAGCCATTTTGCTTTGGTTATAATTAAATTGATTTATGAGGGTCACTAGATTAATTTTATTTTGTTAAGTGTTGTCTGCTACATGTATTTATTTTACTTATCTTTATGTTTACTTATGTTGAAATATTATAACCAAAGAATAAAAAATATCTTTAATCAGGCTTATTCTATTATTTTTACTATTTTCTGATGGACAGTTACTCAGTCTGGGAATATATACGTAGAGTCTTAAATACTGATTCAATCATAATCACTGACAAAGTTCAGTATCTAGAGTTACTATTGAATGACCTTTTTTGCATCTATACTATTTATTACTTTTTCTATTTACTCCAGTTTTCTAGTATACCTCTACTTTTTCTTTAGCATTTAAAAAAAACTCCAAAATACATCTCTACTTTAGTGAATTTACTCACTTATTCCCTGATCAACCATTGAAAAATCTTTTGTTTTCAGGTCATAAGCATTTTCTATTAGCTGCCAATTATCTATGTCTCAGACTGACATTAGAATAATTAAATATTCAGGTGCACTGATCTTGCCACCAACAGTTTTATGGGCATTTGAGAAATTTGTTTAAGTTTAATTGGGAAATTAAGCCATGGGGCAGTGTTGCTGCAAAACCGTACTGCTGTGTTCTGAGTAACTAGACTAATCTAGGTCAGAAAAACACAATAGGGCATACAAATGCCTAAAGAACTCAAAATTGTGCTTTTAATGACTACCAAATTTTGAGATACTTTAATCTTCTAAATACAGAACACTTCTTTCGGTGCAGATGGGGCTATGGTTTATAACCTAAATCTTCTTAATGATTTTGAGTTCCAGTCTCTTCCCTCTCTCCCTCCTTTCTCCCCTCAGAACTTCTGGAAAAAATTATTACTTGTGTTTGCAAAACATATTGCTCTTTTCTCTGTAGTATCAGATAACATTCTAATTCTTTGAGTTAGATGTTGGTTTTTCCGTTTCTGGGAAACACATCTAGGCATGCAGTAAATATTTTTATTTCACGATAAATATATGGGAGTATATGATGTATACATGAGTAGAATGATGGATTATTTATTTTCTAGTTGTTTCTTAACTAACTCCTGGGAGAGGTAATCTAATAAATGGGCCTTTATCACTTCATTTTCTCTCTCTTTTTATAACATACTAACATAAATGAAAATTACTCAAATATGAAGAAAAAAAAGAAAAGCAGAGAGAAAAAGAAGAAAGAAAAGGAAATGGTGGAAAGAAAGGATAAAAGGAAAGAAGGAGAAAATCATAAATATAATATGACCTGATTTATATGTTCTTGAACTCAAA